TACACATACACATACACATACACATACACATGCACATGCACATACACATACACATACACATACACATGCGCATGCACATGCACATGCACATGCACATGCCTATGCCTATGCCTACACCTACACCTACACCTAAACTTATATATATATATATATATATATATATATATATATATATATATATATATATATATATTCACTTCATTTTAACATTCTGTACAAATACTACTTTTATATTCAAAGTAGGACATATATTCTTAAAGGATTTTTTTTGTAATTCTTTAGTTTTAAATTTTATTTTTATATCCACAAATTCGATTTGTATATATTAAAAAGAGTATGTTACTTAATTTTTTTAAAAATTTACATTATTTACTTTTACTAGGGGATAAGCAACTTCTTTTTAATGGAATGTTAATCTGTTCTTAATAGAAATCTCATATAATAAGTAAAAAATGAATAAAAGAATCCTATTTATAAATAACGATCCGTTGCGCAGATGAAGTAGAGTTCATTATTTTCTGGACCTCTGCATATGAAGTAGGGAAGGTGTGGTCAGCACTTTGCCCAGCCGTCTTAACTTCCCCAACATGAGCTAGGTACCCATCAGAGGCCGGGTGGGCTCAGTGACGTTCTACTAACTTGGCACCCGGGTTCGAACTCGAGACTTTCGAGTTAGCAGCCTAGCGCTCTACCGCTTAGACCGCTCTGTAATGCTGTATTCCAATCAAAGTCTGAAATCCTACAGAAATGTAACGTTCTTCTATTACGTCACTTCCTGGTCGAAATTTCCCAAGGAGAGGATTCTGATACAATCCTAGGTCACGATCGCCCCTCCCCCTCTAATCCTCAAAATACGTCTGACACATCGCCTGCAGACGTCATCTAATTATAAGCCATAATCAGAGACAGTAGGAGGAAGGTAAGGCGGGGTGGCAATTATTTGAACCCGTGGTTTTTGAATCGACGAGTTGTGGTGACGTCACGGACGTTTTGCTGTGAATGTCAGTTATATTTTGATCTCTTATGTCAGGCTTAATTCACTTTGTTAGGTTTTGTAAATTATGCTAGGTTTAGTTCATTATGTTAGGTTTAGTTCATTATGTTCGGTTTAGTTCATTATGTTAGGTTTAGTTCATTATGTTCGGTTTAGTTCATTATGTTAGGTTTAGTTCATTATGTTAGGTTTAGTTCAATATGTTAGGTTTAGTTCATTAGGTTAGATTTAGTTCAGTATGTTAGGTTTAGTTCATTATGTTAGGTTTAGTTCAATATGTTAAGTTTAGTTCATCAGGTTAGGTTTAGTTCAGTATGTTAGTTCAGTTCACTGTTTAGTTTAGTTCACTGTTATGTTTAGTTCAATAGGTTAGGTTTAGTATAGTATTTTAGGTTTAGTTCACTATTAGGTTTAGTATAGTATTTTAGTTTTAGTATATTACGTTAAGTTTTGTATATGACGCACCTCTCCCGATCTCCGACGAAGCAGAACACATACACAAGTTATACAGAGAATAGATACTGTAACTACTGTTCGTCCTCATCCTTACGAGGAAGCGGGTGAGAAAGCCTCCCAGTGCGCCGGCCCGAAGGGCGCCAAAGGGGGTAAAAAAGTAGAAAGCTGCAATAGTGAAGCAAACACAGTCGAAGTTAAGACGATTGACTGCTACTTGATATTATGGACTTATTTAGCTGTTTTCTACGTCAATTGTGGGACACGATATAAAATCAGGGACGGGGACCGGTAATACGAACCCCGATGTTTCCAAATTTAGGTAGGGGGACGGCTTTTTTTTTAACCAAAATGATTAATAACTTTAGCCAATATACATGGGGTGGGGTGCACAACTGATAGATAGCCCTGCGCATCGGAATGGTTGGCTACGAAATTTCCAAGTTATCACCAGGACAATAAGCTTGAAAGAAACACTGACTGTGTGTATATGCCTATATACGCCTATGTGTTTTGCAAGTATGCTGTAAGTGACTTGCATTTAAACGACATCTCATTATAAAAACAATGCTGCCTACGTCTGTTTTTACAGTATAAATTTAAAAATAAAAACTTACCTGCTGATATACTAGTTTAACAAAAACTCAGTACAAGTGAACCAGACAACGCCAGACACTCGCTCGTCTGTTCTGTCATCGTGAAATACCTGTAACACCTGTAATACCTGTAAGTGTCGCTGTGTATCCCTCTATCTGGGGTAGTCGTAAACCAAGGCACGGACATCTACGACCAACAGCTGAAGAAAATGTTAATTAGGATCATGTCGTGTCAAGTGTGGTCGGGTGTGGACACGTCAGTCGACATTAGGTTAGGTTAGGTTAGGTTAGGTTGGGTTGGGTTGGGTTGGGTTGGGTTAGGTTGGGTTAGGTTATCTTAGTTTAGTTTAGTTTAGTTTAGTTTAGTTTAGTTTAGTTTAGTTTAGTTTAGTTTAGTTTAGTTTAGTTTAGTTTAGTTTAGTTTAGTTTAGTTTAGTTTAGTTTAGTTTAGTTTAGTTTAGTTTAGTTTAGTTTAGTTTAGTTTAGTTTAGTTTAGTTTAGTTTAGTTTAGTTTAGTTTAGTTTAGTTTAGTTTAGTTTAGTTTAGTTTAGTTTAGTTTAGTTTAGTTTAGTTTAGTTTAGTTTAGTTTAGTTTAGTTTAGTTTAGTTTAGTTTAGTTTAGTTTAGTTTAGTTTAGTTTAGTTTAGTTTAGTTTAGTTTAGGTTAGTTTAGGTTAGGTTAGTTTAGGTTAGTTTAGGTTAGTTTAGGTTAGTTTAGGTTAGGTTAGGTTAGGTTAGGTTAGGTTAGGTTAGGTTAGGTTAGGTTAGGTTAGGTTAGGTTAGGTTAGGTTAGGTTAGGTTAGGTTAGGTTAGGTTAGGTTAGGTTAGGTTAGGTTAGGTTAGGTTAGGTTAGGTTCGGTTAGGTTAGGTTAGGTTAGGTTAGGTTAGGTTAGGTTAGGTTAAGTTAGGTTAGGTTAGGTTAGGTTTGGTTAGGTTGGGTTGGGTTGGGTTGAGTTATCTAGCATGGTAGAGTAAAATGATAACTTAGATGACTCTTGTGTAAATATACTGACAAACTGTATGCAACAGTACTATAGTCTCTTGTAAAACACACAGTTTATTTCCGTTAAAAATCTTCATATAAAATATACAATATTTCTATTTTATCTATATCTCTACCCAGTAAACATTGTTCGTGGTAAACATGAGTTTTACCACTTCTAATGTTAATTATTTTTAAAAAATCATGATGTTATATATTTCTTCTAGGTACCTGATTTTCTTAAGTGAAAGTAATGGTGGCTGGACATAGTGTGAACTACACAATCCATTCTTCCGCCACGGTCACAGAAACAGGTGAACTCTTCTTCACCTGCAACAAGGGCCGCAAGTCCGAAAGGGAACTTTACTTTTACTGCTCATTGTTTCTCTTTCAAATGCTAAGTCTTCAATCACAGCTGCGTCACAACTTTTTTAAACATTATATTCTGAATCAACGAATACGTGTATGCAAACAGTTTAAAATTTCAGACATTTAAGTTTGTTTTCAATTTGTGTTGTAATTAATCTTTAACCTCTTGTATGAATAAAAACTCAAACTAACAACACTGTTTAGTTAACTCTGATATAAAATTAATGTAACCACCAAAACCACAAAACGTTGCTAAACGGTGTTGTAACGCAGTTTTACTGTCATCTCTGTATCTGTGTAATCTCTGGAGATTAGATATAATCATCAACATGTGTCAAAACATGATCTCAGCGATAATCAACTGTAGCTTATCAAAATAAATAATTAGTGTACATGTCTATATTATAGCTGCATATATATATATATATATATATATATATATATATATATATATATATATATATATGTATATATATAGGCCTCTATGTATATATCCATAAATATACATGTATATGTATATTTGTATATATATATATATATATATATATATATATATATATATATATATATATATATATATATATATATATATATATATATATATATAAGAAGAAGAGAATTTTCAGTTCACATACTTTATTGTTCTTTTAAAACACTCACTTCTAGTTATCAAAAATACAAACCAATAAAAACAGTAAAACATTTGAAAATAAAAAATGATAATGTATGCAATCTCAAAAGTGCTCATGTATTCTTCTAAGTGTATCTGGTCACTATCCTACCACATCCGGACAGCGGCATCACTATGGGTGTTTGGTGTCGTGCTAGTGAATGTCCAAAAATGACGTCAATATCATAGGGGGAGTGGGGGTTATAACTTGTGAGACAATATGCGAAGAGTAATGAAGTTAGATAATGTGATGACGAATATTAAAAAGTAAAGTTAAGTTAAATTCTAACCCATAATAAAATATGTCAATTTTTAAAAATATTTGTTTTTGTGTGGTAAATTGTAAAAAAAAATGATCAGTATACTCAATGCTGACCAAATTTGTCAATACAACACGGACATTTCACTTACTTTGAATACGGGGTTTGGCTGGGGCGAGACGTCAAATTAACAGAGGGTCTTACTTTTTGTGACGATGTGTAACGATAGGGATAGGTAAAAATTGTTTTAAAACACGTGATAGATTTGTACGACCCCGTATTGGTTATCTCAACCTTATAGAAAGCGATATACCATTTATAGATTTGGTAATACTCCCCTGTAAAATACTAAGAACGTTACACATGCACCTTTTTAGGAAAATGTTAATAGATAACCCATATGATTTAATTTAAAAAAAAAAGAAATGAATTTCATTAAAAAAAACTTATTAAAGTATCATTTTCTTTAATAACTAATAAATATAATTAGTTCAAAATATTATATTAAACAAACCAGTTTGCTTATTCACATTCATGCTAAAGTTGTTTTTAGGTAGTAATTAAAGGTAAGATTTAATTTAGTCTTTAGTTTTAGATCACAATAGCATGTTATTTAGTTTAACATATTAAGCTTAGAAAAAAAAAATTCGCTTTATTTAGTTAAGAATAGCAAAATACTTGATGATAGTTATTAAAGTTTTGTAACAAAAGTTATTCAGTTGAGTTTGTAAGCTGAGTTAAGGTACGTCCGTGGTATGTGCATAGCAAAGTTGTTGTCCTGCACTTTTTTGCCAGATTTCATCAGACGAGACACAATGATGATACAGATTATGATCAGGATTAGGATTAACCCGCCCAATGTGGCAATCACTGCAATCATGTCAGGTTGCTTCAAGCAGTCGGGAGCACTCAGTTCAGACTTCAGCTCTAAAAATAGAATGTTACAACGTAAAATGTGCTTGTAGATTTTTAAACTTTAAAACCGATTTTAATTTGATTTGAAAAAAAAAATCTTTAGAGGTCATTCTGTTCAGACTTCAATTTAAAAAACAAATAATGAGTAATTAATACGTGATTTGTTTTTTATAAAAAGCAATTTTCAAGTGTCATTGAATTTCGATTTAAAAAGCAGTTCCTTGGATTTTAAAAAATTCTTTGTGACTTGTAAAATTTGTTTGATCTATAATAACAATTAACAATATTTTATAGTTGAAAATTTGAGTCGCTTAAATTCTTCCACGTAATACCGGTAAGATTTTATCATTTGTTATGCAACAGGTTTAGATTTGGAAATAACCATTTCTAGAATTTAATTGAAACATATATCTGGATGAACACTACAATGGCTATGTGTATTATTGTGTATGGAGGAAGGGATGGTTGGAGTAAGATTATCTGAATTCATGGAGTAAATTTTGTTGTGTAAAGTTCATATGCTGAAACATGTTGGGACTGCTGTCTACATGTTGCGTTAGTGGTTATTAAATATTGATTTAATCTTATCATCGACTGTATTGCCTAGCCTTAAACCTTAACCGACAACCATAAGAAGAATCAAGACCTATCAGTATTAAAAGCATCATATCTGCATTGGTGTTTTTTTCCTGCCAGAGTACATAAATTTAAAACACTTTTAAAAGTATAAGAAGCATTTAGATTTAAATAATAAATTTAAAACACTTTTAAAAGTATAAGAAGCATTTAGATTTAGGTGGGGATCGCAGCGTCTATCTTTAACAGAAAAACATGTGCACGTTGACTGTTGATGAATATTTATAGGTCGTAATATGTATCTGTTTTCTAAAACTTAACTAATAGGTTACCTTTAACTTGTGCAACAGGATCGATAACTTTGATGAGGGCAGACACCTGTTCTTCTCTTTCAGTGGCCCGTTTTCTTCTTGCTAAAGTGGTCAGATGCAGGATAGGAGCAGGTTGGAAATTAAAAGATTGCAATAGAAGGACATATATACAGAACAAACTTTGAGTTTGTAAAGTGTTTTAATTTACAAAGGAAAAGAAATAGAAAATGTAAAAAAAAATAGTTTAACTGTAATGCTTGGTGTTTTAAAGAAAACATAACAATCAAGTTTGATTTCTAGAAAGAGTTCCCTTGTAAAACACAACAATCAAGATTTATTAACACAATAAGTTGAGTAACACAATCAAAATTAAGTAATTAACTAACATAAAAAGTTCAATAACAAAACGCAACAAACAGGATTAACAAATTAAATAACATAAAGAGTTCACTAACCTAAATTGGTGCCACATGAAACCTGCAAAACAAAACGTCTTTTAGAATTATAAACTCTAATCAAAGCATTAGTACAAGTTGCATAATATGAAGTAACAAAGATTTGTGAAAATTCTTATTATTCAAAACAAATATACAACCACATATTAAAGTCGAAATCTATTTTGGAGAATTTACTAAGAAATCTATCTTCCTAACGCTTTTCGTAAAGATAAAAAATTCGTCGGAGAATTTTACCACCTTCTTTACTTAACTTTGATAAAAACAACGCTAATTACCTTGACTGAAAGAATAGAATACTACAACAGTTTATTGATGCGATGTTAGTTAAAGGAATGACTTGGTTGAGTCGGATAGCTCACTATAAATAACCTGAAAAATCGTCTGAATTCGGAGTCAGCGGGCGATATGGCCATTTTTTTTAGCGCAATTTCCATACTGGACAATTGCGATTATTAACTCGTCATTTCTGGTGACGGATGGATGTGTGTCCGCAGCTTTAAGTCGTATCTCCTCCTCAACGAAGCAATATCGAGGACTAGTTCCAAAAGCAAATATGTTAAGCAAGTTCCGAGGATGATTGTGGGCCAAAAAAAATTCCCGGAATTCCTTCCTGGATTTCCCTGAAAAGCCAAAAAACCACGAAAAAATGCAGTTTTTGGCCCATATCTCGGCAACCAGACCACTTAGCGACTTGAAACATTTACCAATCGATTCCTGCCATAATTTAGAACAATATTGCCGAAAAAAGTTTTCAAAAATATCCTTTCGTTCTGTCACAAAAAATTAATTAAGGAAATTGCGCTTAAATTGTCACTAGACTTTTTATTAACTTGTTTTGATGAATATACTCTCTAATTTCATTCCTCAGAAAAGTGGAGGGGGTTGTTTACTTAATGCTAGAAGTAATGAAAGAAATAATTTAAACTAAATATTTCGCTGACAACTACTGGCAGTCAGTGTTTTTTCCAGACTTTTTTCTCCGGGTGGGTGGGGGGGGGGGGGGGGGCTCGACACTTTTTTGGGGGGGGGGGGGTGAACTAAAATTTTCGTGGGGGGGGGGGGGGGCGAACACAGTTAAAATTATATATTTTCGTTCGTGGGGGGGGGGGGCGGTAGACTTTCTTCAGGGCAGAGCCCCCCCCCCCCAACCGAAGAGATGTCTGGAATAAACTGCTGGCAGTAAGGTTCTCCCAACATTAAAAACATCACGTCACTATCTACCGGCTCTCTCACCCCACAACCGTGCGATGCTGTGAATAACTTTTCATTAGTATGTTGGTCAAGAAAGTATTCTTGTTTTACTTTATGTTCAGTATAACTAACAATGTACACTTTATATGATATAAGGCATATTGAGTTACGCGTACATATCATAATCATGTGACCTCATCATATCGAGTTATAGGGAACACGTGATCTTCACAAATCAGAATCGTTAACACAAGAACTTTATACGAACTCTATCTTATGAACCGAACCTAGCGATTCTGGTTAGCAGCCGTGTGTCCTGCCCATTGAAAAACGCACTAACAGTTACCATATAAGCAGATACAATGGGAAGTTAGTTAAAGCGCCTAAATAGTCAAAGCATCAGAAGATCAAGACAGATGGCGCAAATTATGAGAAAAACATCTGTAGTGATTCAACAACGCCAATAAGTGTTGAGGGATAATTGATAGATTGAAAAAGTCAACACATAACAGATAAACTTTGAAATTACCTATAACAGATACACTTTGAAGTTATCTATAGCAGGCTAACGTTGAAGTTACCTATAGTAAAACAACTTTAAAGTTACCTATAGCAGATAAACATTGAAGTTACCTATAACAGATAAACTTTGAAGTTACCTATAGCAGGCTAACATTGAAGTTGCCTATAGCTGATAAATTTTGAAGTTTACCTATAGCAGGCTAACATTGAAGTTGCCTATAGCTGATAAATTTTGAAGTTTACTATAGCAGGCTAACATCGAAGTTACCTATAGCAGATAAACTTTGAAGTTAACTATAGCAGATAAACTTTGAAGTTAACTACAGCAGATAAACTTTGAAGTTACATATAGCAGATAAACTTTGAAGCTACCTATAACAGATGAACTTTGAAGTTACATATAGCAGATAAACTTTGAAGCTACCTATAACAGATGAACTTTGAAGTTACATATAGCAGATAAATTTTGAAGTTACCTGCGGACAAACTAGTTCACACAACAACACAGTACATGTGAACCGGACAAGGCCGAATCGACCATCAGTCTGGTCATCAAGGAACATAAATGCCTTTAAAGAGAGTGTCGCTGTATTTTCTGTTAGCTTGGGAGGAGAGAAGTTTTCGTAAAATAAGGCACGGACGTCCCAGACTTCACAGCTGAAAAAAATGAAATCGGTTAAGTTAGGATATGTATCGATATGTTAGTTAAGGTTAATATTAGATTAGGTAAGACAAGCGGTAGAGAGCTGGACTGCTAACCCGTAAGTCTCGAGTTCGAATCCGGGTTCAAGTCAGTAGACCGTCTCTGAGCCCACCCAGCTCTGATGGGTACCTGACTCAAGTTAGGGAAAGTAAAGGAGGCTGGGCATAGTGCTGACCACACTATCTCTTCATATGCCGAGGTCACAGAAACAAGTGAACTCTACTTCACTTGCCCTATAGACCGTCAGGTTTGAAAAGGGAACTAGTTTTTTAAGACAAGATCATGTCGAGTTTCGTTCAGGCTTCCCACCCCCATCCGCCCCCCAGAAGAGCGTCTACCGCCCCCTCCCCCGGAACGAAATATAATTTATATAGAAAATATACTTCTACTAGTGTACGCTCCCCCCCCCCCCCCCCCCCCCACCTCCCGGAGCAAAAATTGAGTGAAGTCAGATTAGTTCAAGTTAAATCAGCTTGAGAATTGTAAGATTTTCTTTTTGTTGAGAGAAAAAGTTCATTTTTATTTACAATACCAACCAACAGTCATTGGATAGTTAACAGATTATCCGTGACTTCGTTTTAACAAAACCATTAAATCAAGTGATGATTGGGTTTGAGTTTTCAACCGTCATCAGATTTTACCTTTTGTCAATGATATTCGTAAATTTCTTTTTTGAAGGATCCGTTTCATTATTATCAGCAACGCATTTATCAATGGTAAAATTCTTGTAAACTGAAAAGAAACCACGGTTTATAAAATGTATATTATTTATGGTTATACCTGTATTTAATCCAAAATGAAAATGTAAGACATAATTTTTTCTAAAATCTTTAATAAAGCTAGTTATTTTAGAGACTTGTTTTTTTTAAGTCAAAAAGAAAAATTATAACGAGCTTCATAAATGTACTAAAACCTTCGAATAACAACTCAATTAGATTTTATTTTGTATTTGTAACTTGTGTTTTTTGTTATCATTATTCTAACTCTGGCTCATAAACAAGCCTCACACATTAATTCATACGGTAAACTGTCATTAACTCCGAATAGCTATTTATTTCAAATATTCTACACTATATGTTTATTTCAAATATTCTACACTAGATATGTTTACTTTAAATATTCTACACATTATTTTTGTTTATTTAAAACATTCTGCACTATATGTTTACTTTAAATATTCTACACATTATTCTTGTTTATTTAAAACATTCTGCACTATATGTTTAAAAACAATATTCTACACTATATGTTTATTTCAAATATTCTGCACTAGATATGTTTAATTTAAATATTTCACACTATATATGTTTATTTCAAATATTCTACACTAGATATGTTTAATTAAAATATTTTACACTATATATGTTTATTTAAAAAATTCGACACTAGATATGTTTAATTTAAATATTTTACACTATATTATATTTATTTAAAATGTTCTACACCATATGTGTATTTAAAATATTCTACGCTATATGTTTATTTAAACTATTCTACACTATATTTTTATTTAAAAGTTGGAAGTGTTCAAACTCACCACTGTGGGCATCAGAATGTAGAGTGAATTTTAGCTTTATGGTCGTCCCGAGTTGGATTTCTTTTTGTGGATCAATTACCGAACCGTTGGAGTAGACCACAGTTAAGGTTACTTTGGACGATGCAGATTCCTCGATATCAAGAACATTCACTTCACTGTCACAAAAGATAAATGATATTTAAATTATAGATTTAAATTATTTAATTCTAAAATAGAAGCTAATCGTTTTCTACAACTAGATGAAGAGGTAAACATCTCAAAATAAATAGGTAACAATGAATGTGCGAGGGTTCTTTCGATTTTAATATTGGCACTCACTTCAAATAATTATAATGAAGAAAAACAACATTTCTGTGTATTTAATATTTTATATTTTAATACAAAATTTATTGGTCATAAAAATGAAATTGTGTATTTATATAAATATGGAGACACCTCATTCATATGGGATGTAATACATATAACTATTTTATGTATTTTTCTTTTGGCTAGTGGAATCGTTCAATGCATGCTTGATTAAAAACCATCTTTTAACTATTCTTTCACATACGATTTTTACTTTGTTTAATTAATGGTTAACGATTTAAAATGAATCTTTATAGATGATGCTGGCACCCACCTGGAAAGTTTATTATCGACTTCCAGGTAGGAGCCAACTTCGAGGCTTGTATCATTTGGGACACTGCAGCTGACGTTTATAATCTGGTCAGTGGCGTCGGCGATGTTTTTCAGGTAGGAAATAAAAAATTGTCTGGAAACATTGACCGTGTCCTGTGAATGCGATGAGACATTTAGATTCCAGTTACAGCTGAAAAAATTGTTTTGGTAACGTAAAGAAACCAACTTTAATGGCTAAAATGTGTAGGAAACAAGTTCGTTAAATAGTACAGTCGTGTAATGCAGTGGCGTAGCGAGGTCGGGTGTCACCCGGTGCGGCACTTAATGGTGCCACTCAGAGGCGTAGCGACTCTTCCCAGGGACAAACTTTCAATTTTCGATTTGCACCCCCCGCCCCTCGAACTTTCGATTTGCAGCCACCCCCCCCCCCCTCGAACTTTCGATTTGCACCCCCCTCGAACTTTCGATTTTGCACCCCCCCCCCTCCCTCTCAAACTTTCGATTTGCACCCCCCGTCAAATTTTTCTCTATATATTTTACTATTTTTTGCCTTGGTGTCACCCCCCTAAATGGTGTCACCCGGTGCGGTCCGCAGCCCCCCCCCCCCCGCCCCCCCCTCGCTACGCCTCTGGTGTAATGACAACTATTACATTTATGTGAATGTACACATTTTAATAATACATTTATTCGTATAAACAATTCATCGTGTATATCAGACATTGCATAAAGTAAAAAGCCATGGCATTCCTTGGGGTACATGAATTAGAGTTCATCTGTTTCTATAATCTCTCATATAAATGGTTATTGTGGTTAGCGGTATCGCAGCCGCCTATATTTTCCATAACATTATGTAGGCCGACCTATCCGAGCTTTGATGCTTTGCTCACTTTGTCCAAACACATAGTCCCTTAGTTAAGAGTATGACACGTCTACAATGTTCACTATTTGAATGCAATCGGGCTTAACTTAACATTAGTTCTGTTAATGGTTACTCGCCTCATCAGCTGTAGCTAACTTTGTTGCGGATCCACATTCTGAACTTGTATGGTTGATTTCTATTCCGTAACCTCGTATATCCGAGATATTTTGGAATTGATAAGCTTCAAGTATGTCACTTTGTTCCTTTAATACAGTATTTTATATTAAATAATATGTCTTGTTTTGTTCTTAAATGTAATATAACCAAGTATATGTGTCATGACGCTAAGAACACATGAAATTCTTCCAGTAGGTTATTTCAAACATATTAAAACATGATTTATTTAGGCAGATAACTATGTAGATTGCTAGGTATCATTAGAGGACGGATTGCTTTGAGAAAATGTGAGAGAATGTATTGTGCATTATTCAAATATATATATATATATATATATATATATATATATATATATATATATATATATATATATATATATATATATATATATATATATATAAGCTCATATCTTGTTATTAGTAAAAAACAAGTTAATTAAAAAGTCTAGTGACAATTTTAGCGCAATTTCCTTATGTTATCTAAAAATAGCTCTGTCGTAGCGTAAATCAAGAGCAGGGTTAGTAAAACCATTGGTTAGTTATTAAAACGTTTTTTATTAAATAAACCTAACTACTAACTAAACTAAGCACCTTGAAATCAAGAGCAGGGTTATTAAAACCATTGGTTAGTTGAACTTGATTATCAACATGATAATCATTAAGATGATAGATCTCTACTTCCGGCATGTATATACAACCACACCACACGCGTCATCACGTTCAATAGATGCGTCATCGCGTTCCATGGCTGCGCTATCACGTTCAGTAGGCGCGCAAGTTAATTAAAAAAGTCTAGTGACATTTATGCGCAATTTCCTTATGTTATCTAAAAATAGCTCTGACGTATAATGATGGGGTGCGTTCAAGCTAGAAGAGCGATCGGTTTGTAGGTGTTTATGTAATTTTAAAATTTGTGACCGAACGAGAGGATATTTTTGAAAACTTTTTTCGGCAATATTGTTCTAAATTATGGCAGGAATCGATTGGTACATGTTTCAAGTCGCTAAGTGGTCTGGTTGCCGAGATATGGGCCAAAAACTGCATTTTTTCGAGGTTTTTTGGCTTTTACGGGAAATACATGAAAGAAACCCGGAATTTTTATGGCCTATGCTCATTCTCGTAACTTGCTTAACATAATTGCTTTTGAAACTAGTCATCGATATTGCTTCGTTGAGGAGGAGATACGACTTAAAGCCCGGACACACATTCATCCATTCATTCATTCATCCATCCATCCATTCCCAGAAATGACGAGTTAATAAACGCAATTCTCCAGAATGGAAATTGCGCTAAAAATAAAGTGAAAATAATGTAGTACATGTTTCTATACAACAATATACTCACAGAAGCATTGATTGGACTAAATTTACATGAAGATTCAGAGCTACGATTGAAAATGAAAATATCTCCATGAAATTCACCATACGGATTTATGATGACGTACATTGAGTCCACTTTGCAGGAAACTTGTACTGAAAACAATGTGAATGTCATCACACCAACAACTTAAGCAGATAATGACCAGTACTTCATTTGATTTACAGTACAGTACATATCTTAAAGAGACGCCTTAATACTGGCTTAATTACAGAAGAGATTCTGCAACTGGGACCGGCATTCAACAAACATGCAAGAACACACGAGTGAGCACATGGACCAAGAGAGAACAGCGTGCCCATAGGTTGTGCAAATTGGTAGCCATTACTATAAATTATAAGAAAACCTTTTAGGCTCTGAACTCGTCTTTATCAAAAGTTTACATATAAAGGACCGTGAATAGTGTAATTATAAGCAGTATATCCCCGGTGCTGCCCGGATTTTGTCAATATATATATGCTATTAAATTTCCAATTAAAAGTCTATATCTAAATATCGACGATTGAGAAAATATATATAACCCTAAACTTAAATCTAATCCTAACCCTAACCACAACAAACCTCAACCTCAACCTAAAACATAACCACAACCACAATTACAATGTCAAACACAAACACACAAAAATACAAACACAAACACAGTCTCATTCACAATCGCAAACGCAAACGCGAACGTAAACGTGAACGTGAATGTAATTTAATAAGCATAAGCATAAGCATAAGCATAAGCATAAGCATAAGCATAAGCATAAGCATAAGCATAAGCATAAGCATAAGCATAAGCATAAGCATAAGCATAAGCATAAGCATAAGCATAAGCATAAGCATAAGCATAAGCATAAGCATAAGCATAAGCATAAGCATAAGCATAAGCATAAGCATAAGCATAAGCATAAGCATAAGCATAAGCATAAGCATAAGCATAAGCATAAGCATAAGCATAAGCATAAGCATAAGCATAAGCATAAGCATAAGCATAAGCATAAGCATAAGCATAAGCATAAGCATAAGCATAAGCATTAGCATTAGCATTAGCATTAGCATTAGCATTAGCATTAGCATTAGCATTAGCATTAGCATTAGCATTAGCATTAGCATTAGCATTAGCATTAGCATTAGCATTAGCATTAGCATTAGCATTAGCATTTGCATTCGCTGAAACAAACACTAACATTAACAATAACACTAACTCTAAAATGCAAACAATTCTGTCACAGATAAACCTAAGTCCACTGAAGCTTTATAATGTTGATACGGATGTTACCTAATTGAAGGAGATAAAAATTTAAAAAATTCTATATTGCTTTTCTGTAATTTTTTACCTCTAGGTAAATGACAGCGGTCTCCATAAAAGCCTTCGTCGCACACACATGGAAAAATTGTAGGATTCAGTCGGCAATAACCGTGCGGTGAACACGATTGACAAGTAGCTTAGAATGAAAATATTATTTAACTTGGATATATTTTACATCAAAGAAAAAAATATGATATAATAAAAATACACACACAGAAATATATATATATATATATATATATATATATATATATATATATATATATATATATATATATATATATATATATATATAAAGCAAAGTGGTCGGGTGCCCGATAGGGACTTCCCGGCGTCGCAGGCGCGTCAAATTTGGCCTTGGGGCGATAGAACAAGAGGGCCGGTGACGGTTGGCCGAAAAGTCCACGGCGAGGGGGTCAAAACTAACCTCGACTGACCGGCGCCTTATATGGGCTATATTACGAAAAAAAATGTCCTCCGACGACCCCCTTAAAATTTTGTGAGGTGGTAGGAGAACGCCTTGGGGTGTCACAAAAAACTCGCCATGTCCGGGAAAAATCGAGCTACTGGTCGGTGCTCTCACGTACATCTCTAGAAATTCTGATGCTTGTGGTATGTCAGGAATATAGGGGTCTCTCTGTTCTGTGTCATTTGTTCTTAATTTTTCATTGTTGCCTTTCATAGACAAACTGATGTTAGTACTCTTGGTTGACAGTGTTCTAGTAATTTAATAATTCTTATTTGGTTTTCGTATCATGCAGCATCCACATCTTTTTCTGCAATTTAGCGAATCAGCCGTTTATTGTAAAATGTTGTACTCGTTTTTTTTTCAATGCGATTGTTATTTTTTTTTATAGTTCTGAGGATTTTTACTGTTGGTCCTGGAACTAGTTTTTTTTTTATTAATTCTCTTCTAGCTTCTATTTTAGTCAATGTTGATCATGTCATCCACTTTTTGTTTTCTTGTTTTTCTTTGTAAGATTTACAGACTTTAAGGAGCTTTTATTTGGTTTTTTAATGACGAATATTTGATTCGCATTGAAAATGACAAAGTTACAGGCATTCTGAAATATCTTTTTGAAAACCATATTCAGGGCAAATGTACGTGACATTACTGTTTTTAAATCAATAAAGTTCTTCAATGAGTAGATCTGAATTGTGTGCTACCTAATTGGCTCTTCCCCATTCGCGTCGAACCCAAGATAGTGTCTGCGTTTCGGTGTTGTCGTCATTATATTTCTCTCGGTGTTAAACAAAATATACATTTTCCCAAAATCTAAAAATCTGTCTTCCCAATATTTGGACTTATATTTAATTTTTTTTTCAGTATTTAAGTAAGATGTCTATGCTACTTACGAAAAAATTTTTCACATTGAAACGAAAAATCTTCTTCACGACAATCACAAGTCCCGTTTTCTTGATGACATAATTTGTTCTCACTACAAATTGCGCCTCTGCGTCGACAATCAAATTTTAAAATTGCTTCATCTGCAGCTGCAGAAATATCTGAGTATAACAAAAGAAACCTAATTTAAAAAGCGATTGCTATATATAACGTTATTTACTGATATTTATATGTAGGCCTATCTCAGTAGACCTATCTTAAATGTTTTAAAATTCTTCAACATGATATAGGCCTATATGTATATGTGCGTGTATGTGTATGTATTTGTATGTGAGAGCGTGTGTGTCTGTGTCTGTTTCTGTGTGTGTCTGTGTGTGTCTGTGTGTGTGCGTGTGTCAGAGTGGTGAGAAGTGGGACAAAGGAGAATTAGGACAGTGTAAATTTTGTTTATAATCGATTTATATTTTGGAAAAACTGACAATGTACAACAAAACTAAGTAACAGATGATGGTTTTAACTATTTTCAAAAATTGTTCGCAATCATTTATGTGATCATAATCACTATGGCGAAAAGATTGATGTGTGTATAATACGATAGTTTGTCTACAATTCTGCTTATATCACGTTATTACGGTGATAATTTTTCCCTTAATCAAAGTTTTAATCTGCCATTTTTAAAACAGCGATGTTAATATAAAATATAATATGCACTCGCAATATAAGCAGAACAAAAAAAGGTTTATTACTATAGAAAAAACGTTATGTTACGGTTGATAATTAGTTTCACAGGACTGCAAAGATTAAGCATACAAATTTGTGAGATTATATCAAGATAATTTATTCTTTCCATGAATAGGTAACGGTCATCTCTTTGTCCAATTTTAAAATTATGTGCTCAATTTAAAGAACAGCATTGTCGAATTGTAGAGCTTACGATTGCTAGCCCAACAGTCACAAGTTCGGAGCCCCGGTTCTAGTCCATAGGACGTCCCTGAGTCCACCCAGCGATGATGGGTACCTGACTCACATACGGAAAATTAAGTTGACTGGGCATAGTGTTGACCACACTATCCCCAAGTAATAAACAAATAAACAAATAAACAAATAATCAAGAAAACAATCGCTCAAAAGTGTAGAAAAACAAAAAAACAATAACCTTGGAGCAAGCACCAGGTACCCGCTAGAAATGCGATGACAAGCACAGACCGTGAAAATACGCGATGTTGATTGGTGGGCATCTTGTATTCATTCAATCCCTGTCTGATACAAAACTGGATGCTTTACCTCAATAAATATTTACATTTGGTCCCATGCACGATTGGATCCGATATGGTTATCGTCCTATCTACTATCTGTATCTACAGATCTACTATCTACTATCTGTATCTACTTATCAAACATGATAAACTTAGAAAAAGTTTACATGCGTTCATTTAGCGATTAGAAATCAGAGGGTGAATTTTGAATGTTTTATCGGTCGCACTAATGTTGGCCGCAATTTAATTTTTTCGCATCACTCTATAACTAATGTTGCTCCAAAGTGGTTTGCATCTAATGTTTTACCCAAACTTGTGGAACGGCGTGGTCTAACCCGAAAGCCACGAGTTCGGATCCTGGCCTTGAGGCCGTAGGACGTCCTTTGGTAGGTCACATTTAGCCTCGTAAACTGGCTATGTTACAACATTTAACTTTGTAAACTTGTTAGAACTGCCCCTCATGTCCAGTAAACTGGTTAGAACTGCCCCTCATGTCCAATAAACTGGTTAGAACTGCCCCTCATGTCCAGTAAACTGGTTAGAACTGCCCCTCATGTCCAGTAAACTGGTTAGAACTGCCCCTCATGTCCAAACCAGGTGGTGCGATGCTCTGGGGGAGGAAGGAAAAGCCTAGCAGAAACCCACGTGTCTAGCGGCTGCAGAGGGGTAGCGACCCTTCCCGGCGCCCGGGGACAAACTTTCGATTTGCACCCCCCCCCCTCGAACTTTTGATTTGCAGCCCCCCACCCCTCAAACTTTCAATTTGCTTTTCCAACCCATTTTGGCGCCCCCCTAAGGTCGGCGCCCGGGGACATATGCCCCCCCCCCTCGCTACGCCTCTGAGCGGCTGGGAACTTGGGTGAGAAAATACCTGATTCTTAACCCTGTTCTAATCTGCCTGGGGCAAGTAATGGCCGTATAAGAGAAGAAGACCTAAAACTGTTATGTAGTCACTAGCCAAACTTGTAATACTTTCTATTGTTCTAGTACTGTTACTGAGTACCATAATATTCTCTCAAAATTTAATACTTTTGTTGACTTTGCATGTAGGCCTACCTCAAATATCCGGGTTTTAAAGAACAATTAAACTTTGTATATATATATATATATATATATATATATATATATATATATATATATATATATATATATATATATATATATATATATATATATATATATGTATATGTATATATATTATATACTAGTAATCGATAACTTTAATCTACAAAATAAATGTTTTTCAATTACAGCTTTTAAAACTAGCATTAACATAATGACATAGATTACGTTCTAAAAATACTCAGGTCATCATCCACCTGACTTGACATCTCTATCAGATGTCAATCAAGTAATCTCAACTCAGCAACCACCCATGACATGCATTTCGGTAAACAAACATGAATGTACAGCATAGAAGTTGGCAACCTCTTATCGGTGGGCGGAAGAATTTAAAGTAATCGCTAAACTTATCACACTGATTAAATATTTTATCGCCATAATTTATCTTTTTATCCTTTCCTCAGAAACTGAAATTGTGTAACAATTAAAAACTTATTTCAAATCAAATTGTATTTATTATTTCGTTTTGTTTTGTTAAGTTCAGTATTATACATTGTAATGTCACTTGTGTTTTTAAACGTTTTAATTATTTTTTTAAATGTTTTTTTTTTAAATTAAATATATTATTTTTTTATGAATGAACGATCATTTATCAATGATGTTCCATTTGTATAAACTGATCAGAACAGGGCATATCATAGAAAATTAAACTTGAGGTTTTGTCCACGGCATTTTGTAATTTTATGAATTATTTCAGATTGTTTAAAATTCCGGTGACATGGTTAACTTTGTAGGTTGCAACATTTAGCCGTTGTGAACTTGGTAACTTGGTTACAACATTTAGCCATGGTTAACTTGGTCTGTTATAAAATTTTAGCCGTGGTTAACTTGATCTGTTATAACATTTAGCCATGGTTAACTTGATCTGTTATAACATTTAGCCGTGGTTAACTTGGTCTGTTACAACATTTAGCCATGGTTAACTTGGTAGGTCACAACATTTAGCCGTGGTTAACTTGGTCTGTTACAACATTTAGCCATGGTTAACTTGGTAGGTCACAACATTTAGCCATGGTTAACTTGGTCTGTTACAACATTTAGCCATGGTTAACTTGGTCTGTTACAACATTTAGCCATGGTTAACTTGGTAGGTCACAACATTTAGCCATGGTTAACTTGGTAGGTCACAACATTTAGCCATGGTTAACTTGGTAGGTCACAACATTTAGCCGTGGTTAACTTGGTAGGTCACAACATTTAGCCATGGTTAACTTGGTCTGTTACAACATTTAGCCATGGTTAACTTGGTCTGTTACAACATTTAGCCATGGTTAACTTGGTAGGTCACAACATTTAGCCGTAGTTAACTTGGTAGGTCACAACATTTAACAGTAGTTAACTTGATAGATCACAACATTTAGCCGTGGTTAACTTGGTCTGTTACAACATTTAGCCAGAGGCGTAGCGAGGGGGGGCAGGGGGGACATATATCCCTGGGCGCCGACCTTAGGGGGGGGGCGCCAAATTGAAAGTAAGTTTGAGATGGTGCAAATGAAAAATTCAAGGGGGGGTGCAAATCGAAAGCTTGAGTGGGGGGGGGGGAGGTGCAAATGAAACGTTCGATGGGGGGTGCAAATCGAAAGTTTGTCCCCGGGCGCCGGGAAAGGTCGCTACGCCTCTGCATTTAGCCGTGGTTAACTAGGTAGGTCACAACATTCAGCCATGGTTAACAATCAAAGTTTAGGTCATAGGTCCAATCACAAACACAATTTAAAAAATAAATATTAGGTCCTATCTCAAGCCAATCACAAACCCAATTTTTAAAAAGAAAAATCAAAGTTTAGGTCATAGACCCAATCTCAAACCTCATTTAAAAAATCAAGCTAAGGTCATAGACCGAATCACCACGCCCACCTTAGGCAAACGACCTCAGGTACTGTATGACTCACCTGTAACCACCTGTGGCACGTGGAAAACAAGTGCGTCTTATTTCCACGTTTTTGATTTGTCCGGGTGACGTTAATCGCTCACGAAATGAGGCAGGTGGTCATAAGAAAAATATACTCCCTCACCCGGTGACTAGGTGAGCCGTGGCTAATTAAACACTCACTCGTCGATAAGTAATCAATGAAAAAAATTAGTTCTTTTATAACCGATGAATTTTTTAAACATTTTTTGAAAGAAAAATTAGTTCATGTATAATCGATGAATTTTTCAACCTTTTAAACATTTTTTGAAAAACTCTAAATTTTAGGTTGATGGAATTCAGTCGTAATTGTAATGTTTCTCGTGCAGTTAAAAGACCGTCACTGGTAAGAAACCATGTAGTACAAATTTAGTTTCTCTTCTTCTGCAAGTGACACTGCTCTTAATTGTAGACAGGGGTGGGCTAGCCCACCAGTCCACCGCAGTGGCGTAGGCAGGGGGGGGGGGTTAGGGGGGGTCATAACCCCCCCCATAGACCCCTCGGTATATAGAAAAAGTATGAGGGGGGGGGGGTGCAAATCGAAAGTTTGAGGGGGGGGGGGGTGCAAATCGAAAGTTTGAGGGGGGGGTGCAAATCGAAAGTTTGAGGGGGGGGGGTTGCAAATCGAAAGTTTGAGGGGGGGTGCAAATCGAAAGTTTGTCCCCGGGTAAAAATTGGACCCCCCCCTTGAGACGATCCTGGCTACGCCACTGGTCCACCGGGTAAAATCTCGGTGGGCCCCCTGGTAAAAAAAATAATCCTGGTAGGCCTCTTGGAACGGCAGAGGCGTAGCGACCCTTCCCGGCGCCCGGGGACAAACTTTTGGATTTGCACCCCCCCCCCCTCAAGATTTCGATTTGCATTCCCCCCCCCCCCCCCCAAGATTTTGATTTGCACCCCCCCTCAAACTTTCAATTTTCACCCCCTCAACGTTTCAATTTATTTTTCCAACCCATTTTGGCGCCCCCTAAGGTCGGCGCCCGGGGACATATGTCCCCCCCCCCCCTCGCTACGGTACTGTGGAACGGTGCTGTTTAGTGCTTTGATATTTTTTTTTAAATAAACAAGCTGAGGATGATCACCAGACTTTGTAGGGAGGGGGGGAGTGCATTATGAAAATTTTAATCTGGTCTTGGGGGTCACTTTAAAAACTTCCCCAAGCACTTGGAGACAGCCAGTCCTACCCTGAATGTTGCCCTAATACTATCTCACATACCGAGCCCAAACAATCTACCATGACTCAACAGAGGGACGTTGAAAAAAAAATTAAATATTTTAATTGTATCACCTGTCAGGTTTGCGAGAACCACATGTTTTGATGTTGGGTTGAATGATGTGATCATCACTTGCAAAACAAAAATTTCACTGTTTCTTTCAACCACCGTAATTTTTTTTAATAACAGTTATAGCATCGCTTTATTTTTTTATGTTATATTTATTATGCCGATGTCACAGAAACAGGTACACTCTACCCCACCCCCTTTCATGGACCATCAGATTCGAAAAGGGAGCTTCTGTATGTTTTTAATTTGGCTTTCACCTAAAATATGCGATGAAAAATATTCATATTTCAATTAACTTTTTATACATTACAATTTTTTTAAAAATCACTTTTTTTTTAAGTGTAAGCGGCTTACGATAATTATAAACACTTAATGTTTGTATGGAAAATATTATCGCTAATATCAAATCCGGGATCAGAGCAACGCTCACCTGTCAATTACATGCCCCACTCCCGGTCATTCCCTCCCCCATTACACTTACATGAATTACCCCATTCAATTACCTCTTTGTATATTACCTCCCTCCCCCACTACATAATACGCAATGTAACATTACCAGTGCTGACCTTAAACTTAATCATTACTCAGTTACTAACCCTGTTCCTAGCCGGAACACCAAATCAGCTCACAACGCAGAACTAACATCGACCGTGGCAGAAAGCAAGTCGTTATCATACAGTATTTCCATACTAAACAATATACAGGAGCCTAGCCAAGTTTTAATATGTGATGACGTGTATACATGACTATTTAGGTAATAGGTTTTCTTAAATAACATGGGTCTTGTCGATGTAGGTGGGGGGGGGGGGGGGATAGTGGGGAAGTTTGTGTGGTGCAGGTTGTTGTGGTAGAGGGTGTAGTGGGTGGTGTAGATGGTGTAGGTAGTTTAGGTATAGGGAGGTAGTGGGTGTTATGTGGTGTAGATCTTATAGTGTAGTGTGATGGTGTGGAAATTGATATTGTGGGGGAGTGAGTGGTAAATGGTGTTTTTTATTCATTGAACTCCCTCATTTCTCGTGAAGGTTCGTCATGCTATAAACCATCCACCATTATAAACACGTAAGGACGAACGAGATAGAATGGATTCAAAAGCTCGTTGTTATTAAAGAAAATCCTTTTCAAATAGATATTTAGTTTTTGCTTAACGTTGAAGTTTTGACGGGTTTTCAATGTGGATCGTAACTTTGGATAGTTAAGAGCACGTTCATACGCCCAGAAGAAATCAAATAACAAATCACTCTATCAAATGTACGTTTAGGGCCTCTCTCGCTTTCTCTTATATATATATATATATATATATATATATATATATATATATATATATATATATTAGAAAACAAGGTGACCCGTCTAAAAATTAAACAATTGCTGCCTTGTAGTTTGTTCTTGGTTGGACAAAGGCTATGGAAGCAAATCCAAAATGAAAAGCAGGCTGAAATCGGAGTCAATGGCCTCAATGGCGCATAACCAGTTGACACCAGGGGCGGAACTACAGTGCCGCCAGACCCCGCAATGCGGGGGGGGCCCACGCCATTTAGGGGCCCAGAGCCGACCATAATAAATTTTTTTATAGTTAAGAAAAAAAGTAACTTTTCTTTCATTTTTGACTTGATGGTTGTTTTGTAAAAAAATTACCGTAGCTGCGGTTGGATTATCTTTATTCTATCTTCTTTTTCCCTTTGTTTTTAAACAACTTTTAAAGCCGAGTCTTTCTTCTACAATTAAACTTATCACAGATAAGCAAATGTTCAAACCACTTCCATGACTTATTTCCCTTTTTTCAACATAGTCAAATAGGAGTGATCATAAGCTCCTTTTAATAGATTTGTACTAAACAAATTAAAAAGCAATTACTTCTCTTAATTATTATTTTTTATAAGTAATTACTAAAGAATAATATTGTATTAAAAGTAAATGTATTGAAATGTATTAAATCAATAATATTTAAAACATTTATAATATAACTACAAAAAAAAACATAGAAATAAACATAACATGTGACACCATTAGTTATACAAAGCTTTCATGTTTTATATAATTTTGACTGACAAGATGCTAAGAGGGCTTCTATCAAAAATTAATTAAAACTGATTTTCACAAAGCACACTAATGCACTTAGATCTACACACATGGCATGATGTTGAAAATTTTTTAAATTGATGTTTTTCATACCCGAACAGGCCACAAACGAGTATCCTATGTTCGTATTTTGTATATATATATATATATATATATATATATATATATATATATATATATATATATATATATATATATATATGTATATATATATATATATATATATATATATATATATATGGGGGGGGGGCTAAAAAATGTTTGCGGGGTGGCCCTTTTTTCTAGTTCCGCCTCTGATATATATATATATATATATATATATATATATATATATATATATATATATATATATATATATATATATATATATATATATATATATATATATATATATATATATATATATATATATACTTTGCCACTGTGAAATGAATGACAATGTAGCGGATTAAGGGGAAGGCTGAGAGGGCTGCAGATTTTTAGAGGCCCCCATATTAACTCTTATAAATCATAGTAAATTTCACTTTACAGCCTATTTTTTGTTTTTCTATAAAAACCAAAGCTTCAATTTAATTGAAAAAAGGTATAGACCTACTGGTCCGGCTATTTGTATCTTTCGAAATCACTACATTAGGTAGGGACTAAAGTGTTTTGAATGTTAGGCCTAGTAATTTGAAGTGACTGGCAGGTCGGTTAGTGACGTTCTTTTTATGTATTCATTAAATAAGAATTAAAACCTAACCTAGACGCCAGACGGGAGCTTCGGGGATACGACTAGGTTTATCTGATAAGTATAGATAAAGAAGTGATAAAGCTATTGACAGTGACGGATTAATTGGCTGAACAGGAGGCCACCAATTTTCTGTTTACGACGCACGTTAAAAAATTTCCTATCCATTTTTATTTGGTTGCTTAGTGCTTATAATCTAAATATATGTAGTATGTCCTAATCAGAATCTCCTTAAAAAACTAAATGTGTTTTTGATTGATCTCGATTATAAAACACGACAAGTTAGCAAATTACATCAGACTTGGGTTCTTTGGCATATCTATTATAACCCTGCACCATCCATTGGATCAAGACAAGCAGCACTATAACTAACAACTTTACATCAGCAGGCCTAGATAGAAAAGGTATGGAGAGACGTTTTTAAATGTTGTTAATTGAATCAAATTTGTGAATAGTTATGCTTTTAAAAGATAAATTACAAGATAATCAATCAATTTTAAAGGCAATGTAGTTGCAATAATCAGGTGTTTGACTAGGTTATCATGGTTTTGTAAGTCATGGAATTTGAATTTGAATATTATACTCCTATATGTTTAGCCATTTAAGCCCAATATTTTTTTATCCAATTTTCAACACACCCGACCTAAACTTGTTTGTGTATAAGTAAACGGTTCGAGTTAGAGGTAGCATCGCTAGACTAATTGAGGTTTTGTCGATCAACGCGATCAATTGAAAGTCTTTAAATATCATGTAAATCTTCATGATTGTTCTACGTAGGGTGGTTTATGATCTTTTTTTATTTTTTTTATCCTCTGGCGACCACACAAGGGCTTTTCAGAAAATCATTTTTCATCTGTTCTGATGAGTGATGACACGTGTTATAATGATCTGTTCCTTTCTTCGTTCTCTGGTGGATGCAAACCAGTATATTTTTCACGTTTGTGCGGATATCCTGTGACCTACTTAGGTCGAGTCAGGTTCCATTTTTATTTTGACATTGTATAATACCTTATATGGAATGATGGTGTAACTCCTGGGGTTTTTCCACTGTCTTATTAAGGTGTCTAAGACGTAGAAATTTTCCATTAAGATCTGATTGAATGATTCTGATCATATGACCCTCCCAACCAATGGCTACATGAGTTGAGGATGACCTCCCCTGTGGCAGAAGTCTTTAACTGCACCGCACACTCGTCACACGTGGCAGTTTACCTTGGTCAGGCCGTCTACCTTGATCAGTCTATTAAGACCATTGCCGTCCATATTGTCCGGCAATAGATTCTGACCATTTGAACGTGAGAGAACTTAAGTCCTGTGTGTGCTATGCTTTCTTAAGTGATTTAGTCTTCTAGTATAATATTACTTGTCGCCAAGTAATTCTTGAAGCTATAGCAGTGTTGTGTGGCCTGTGGCTATTTTTAGACAGTGTAGAAATCTGTGATAGTGTTTTTTCTTACATTTTGTAAGTTGGGTTTTGATATTTTATACATTAAATATTTTATCTAGTTTAACCTTGTGTTCTGCCACAACTGTGTTCGCTTATTAAAGGTTGTATGCAGATTGGGTGAGTGTTAATTACAATAGTATCACTAGTTTTCCCTAGACGTCGAATTCGAGCCCTAGTGTGTTGTTGTGTTAGTGTTCACCCACTTAGGCTGTAAGGCATTTGCATATAACCCCGAAAAAAGAATCCGGGGACGTTCACCTTCCATCTGGCTGATAGATAGGTAAACGTTACAAAGTGGGGGCTCGTCCGGGATTTAATCTGTCGTTCCAGTTGTTGGTTATATCAGTAAGCACTAAGGTTAGTTTGATTTAGTTGTTTTTCTATCCAGTGCGCCGTGTTCTTACAACGCGCGCAAGCATAGAATTATCTAGGTCAATAGGCAGACGTGTCACGCCCTAGATTGAAGAGGTCAAGTACACGGCCCAACGCACCGTGTTAAGTTAGTGAATCTAGGCTTGTTGTGATTTGAAAGTTAGTGTTATGGAGTCTTTTTTGGCTAATCCCACTTTTGAGCAGGTAGAAAAGTTGAGTAGAAAAGTTTTGATTAGTGTTGTTAAGGAATTGAAATTGGATTATTCTGTTACGCAGAAGTCAGAGGTGTTGAGAGATAAAATTGTTGTTCATTTTATTAATGAAGGGGTATTTGATGAAAACTTGTTGGCTGGTGTGTTACTCCGCGAGGAGAAACCTCTAGAGAAGGTAGAATTAGAAGCTAGAATTGCTTTAGAGAAGGAGAAAGTTGCTTTAGAGAAGGAGAAAGTTGCTTTAGAGAAGGCTTTAAAAGAACAGGAATTAGAGGCTAAAATTGCTTTAGATAAGAGGAGGTTGGAATTAGAGTTTGGTCAAGTTAGTGATGTCACTTCTCTGGTAGATCCAAAAAAGTTGTCGGTGGGGCAAGTGATTGCCAAATTTGGGAAATTAGTGCCTAAATTTGATGAAACAGATTTGGTCGTTTTCTTTAACTCATTTGAGAGTTTAGCGAAGACATGTGAATGGCCCGAAACTTCCATTACTGCTTTATTGAGCTCGGTCCTTACTGGGAAAGCTGCAAAAACATACCAGGCACTCTCTCACGACGTTCAAAATAACTATAGTTTGGTCAAGACTGCCATTTTGAAGGCCTACGCACTGACGCCCGAGGCCTATCGGACAAAATTCCGAACACTCCGCAAGTTACCCACTTAATCATATGTGGAATTTCTCTTTGAAAAGGAGAAAATATTCTCAAGGTGGCTACACTCTGAGGAAGTTTCTGAGTTTGAGAAACTCAGGTCACTTATCCTAAGGGAAGAATTCCTATCGTCCCTGCCTGAAGAGATACGACTACACATACTGGATAACAAGATAATTGACATCCAGAAGGCTGCTGAGTCGGCTGACACATATATGTTGGTGCATAAGAAACCACCAGTGTCAGGAAACCGCCTCAACCCCGTGCTTCCCCTTTTTGGCAGCAATCCTCCTGTTGGCCAATACTTGAAGGCATCACAGTCCAGAGAGAAACCAAGATCAACTCTCAATCGTCGAGCAGTTTGCCAGTTCTGCAAAAGACCTGGTCATCATGTCAAAGACTGTTACAAACGTCGTCAATATAACAGAGAGGTGGTGCGTACTTCTGCGCACTATGCTCTATCCCCTCAAGCAGCCGGTTCAAATATGAACTCTAGAATTCTAAAGGACTCTAACCCTAAGTGTCCGCAAGAAGGTAGTCAAGTCTCCACACATTATGTGCAGTCACATTTTGACTGTTCTCGCCACCATCCAGTTTCTTCCGAGTCTACCGATCTCGAGGGATCGAGAAAAGTTGACTTTTCATCTTTTATTGCCGAAGCCATCATTAGTAAACCAGGTGATCCGTTGTCTCAGCGGAATATCACCGTCCTAAGAGACACAGGAGCGTCACAGTCACTTCTTCTGAAAAGTTCAATGGACATTACACCTGAAACGAACACCGGAAGGATTTCCATTATCCAGGGAGTGGGGACAAAATCTACTGTCGTCCCTCTACACAAGTTTGCCCTGAAACATCATCTCGTCGAAGGTGAGGTCATTTTAGGTGTGATAGATAGTATTCCAGTCCCAGGAGTACACCTACTTCTAGGGAATGACCTTGCGGGAAGCAAAGTATACCCCTGTGCGGTTTCAGACCCTTTGTCAACAGTTCCAGATAATGATTATGAACTGTATCCTGCATGTGCGGTGACAAGAAGCCAGACCAAACAATTGGCTGACACAACGTCTGAACCACACCTACCATCATCGTCAAGAAATTCGACTCCCAAATTGGAGTCTATGCTTCCAGAAAACACAAGTCTGGGCTTACCCCTGAGGATTTCTCAGGAAGACATCATTAAAGCTCAACAAGTCGACGCGGAACTCAAAGCAATGGTCGAAAAATCTCTATCATCTGACGATGGGGAATATTTCTCCGAGAACGGCCTCTTCTTTCGTCGCTCTATACCAGTGAATGCCTCACCAGCCGAACCATGGTTGGGTAAAAACCAGCTGTGGGTCCCTCCACCTTATCGGCATGAAATACTTAAGCTGGCACATGACCATCCAATGTCAGCACACCCAGGAGTCACTAAAACGACGGCGAAGATCCAAGAATTGTTCTTTTGGCCCAAAATGAGAAATGATGTGTCGCGTTACTGCAGAAGTTGCACGAACTGTCAGTTGGCCGGAAAGCCAAACCAGACAATTCCTAAGGCCCCTTTGAGTCCGATTCCTGTATTAGAAGAACCCTTTTCAAAAATCGTCATGGACTGTGTAGGTCCCTTGCCTAAAACCAAGGCGGGCAACGAGTACCTACTTACCTTTATGTGTTCAAGTACCCGTTTTCCCGAGGCGATTCCCTTACGGAACATTAAGGCAAAGACTGTAGTCAGAGCCATGACCCGGTTCTTCATTACCTTTGGATTACCTAGAATCGTGCAAACAGATCAAGGCAGCAACTTCACCAGTCACCATTTTCAGGAAGCACTAGCCAAGCTAGGCGTTACCCACATCACCAGCTCAGCCTACCACCCTCAGTCTCAAGGCGTACTTGAGAGGTTCCACCAAACCCTCAAAACCATGCTAAGAACGTTCGCTAACAGTAACACCCAATGGGATGAGTCTGTTCCTTGGATTATTTTCGCCGCGAGGGACTGTGTCCAGGACTCTTTAGGTTACTCTCCTTTTCAACTTGTGTTTGGACATTCTGTCCGTGGTCCCCTGAAGCTGATACACGAACGTTGGACAGGTACCAGTGATCATCCTGTGGAAAGCTTTGACGATTTTCACGTTCGACTGAAAGCCGTGTGCGAAATGGCTCACAAGAACTTAAGAAAGGCCCAAGTGAGAATGAAAGGACTGTATGATAAGAGTTCTTGTAAACGAACATTCAATCCAGGCGACAAAGTTCTTGTGTTAGTGCCTAATCTGAACAATGCGTTATCCTTGAGATATTGTGGACCCTTTACTGTGCATTCAAAATTAAGTGATTTGAACTATGTTGTCAATACGCCCGACAGAAGAAAGAAACAGACAGTGTATCATGTTAACTCACTGAAAAAGTATTATGATAATTGTAACAATGTTCATTCCACAGCTAAAATTACTTTACCTGTATGTTCAAATGTTTCTGATGATGTGATACATGATAAATTGAAACCCCCAAAATTGGTAAATTCTTCCTTTTTAGATCATCTAAATGACCACCTTATGCATTTGTCCACAGAGGAAAGCCATAAATTGTCTGAAGTTAATTCTACTGTAAACCTTTACAGAAATCACTATTATGCAAGTTCTGAAAAAGTTCAATTACCTATTTGGGTTACCAAGTGGGAACGAACCAAGTTCGGCCCATTGAAGCTAAAGTAGATGCTATTGTAAGGTTACCACCTCCCAAAAATTGTAAAGAGATCAAAAAGTTCCTTGGGATGGCTGGTTACTATAGGCGGTTCTGTCAAAACTTTTCAGCTATTGCTGAACCCCTTACTGCATTATTGAAAAAGGGTGTTGAGTTTGAATGGTCAAATAAATGTCAAGAAGCTTTTTTAACCATTAAGTCATTTTTATCTAATGCTCCTGTTATGGCTGCACCAGATTTCAGCAAGCCCTTTAAACTTGCCATTGATGCTAGCAACTTAGCCGTTGGCTCAGTCCTATTTCAAGAAGACAACATGGGAATTGACCATCCCATTGCCTTTTTTTCCAGGAAGTTAAATGAGAACCAAAAGAATTATTCTACTATTGAAAAAGAGGCTTTAGCTTTGGTTTTATCATTACAACATTTTGAAGTCTATGTCTCTTCTTCAACCAATCCAGTCAGAGTGTTTTCTGACCATGATCCCCTGAAATTTACCTCTAAGTTAGGACAGACAAATCAAAGAATATTGAGATGGTGCTTATATTTCCAAAATCTGGAAATTTCACACATTAAGGGTAGTGATAATGTTGTGGCTGATTGTTTGTCAAGGATGTAAAATCTTATTGCACACATTGATCATGTGACATGTTTTGTGGTTCATTAAGACCATACACAAGTGTTGTGTTTGGGTGACACTCACATGAAAATGAGTGGTATGAGTTTTGACTTTTTCAAAATGTCAATCCTATTACAAATTTTGTTTATTTTCAGGTGAACCTTAATTAAAGGTGGTTTTTGATTATATGTAATCTTTTATAATAATATGTCTCATATGACTCAGTTGATATTGTAGCTAGTCATTGAAATAAAGGTCTTACCCTGGCGGGTTTACCACTTTTAATATCCACATGGAAATATTGTAATACCCTTTTTTGAGGGATTTTGATGTATAATTACTTTTTGAAGGGTTACTCCCCTTTCACCAATTGTAAAAGTTGGAGTTACTTCCCTTTTATGTTCAGGGATGTTTTCATCTGGTATTAATATTTTGGTTGCCTACATTTGTAAAACATTTTTTTTATTTCATTGCCAGATTGGTTCCTTATGTATGCTTTTGTGGAACCTATCTGTCACTTCCAAAAAGGGAGGGGATGTGACCTACTTAGGTCGAGTCAGGTTCCATTTTTATTTTGACATTGTATAATACCTTATATGGAATGATGGTGTAACTCCTGGGGTTTTTCCACTGTCTTATTAAGGTGTCTAAGACGTAGAAATTTTCCATTAAGATCTGATTGAATGATTCTGATCATATGACCCTCCCAACCAATGGCTACATGAGTTGAGGATGACCTCCCCTGTGGCAGAAGTCTTTAACTGCACCGCACACTCGTCACACGTGGCAGTTTACCTTGGTCAGGCCGTCTACCTTGATCAGTCTATTAAGACCATTGCCGTCCATATTGTCCGGCAATAGATTCTGACCATTTGAACGTGAGAGAACTTAAGTCCTGTGTGTGCTATGCTTTCTTAAGTGATTTAGTCTTCTAGTATAATATTACTTGTCGCCAAGTAATTCTTGAAGCTATAGCAGTGTTGTGTGGCCTGTGGCTATTTTTAGACAGTGTAGAAATCTGTGATAGTGTTTTTTCTTACATTTTGTAAGTTGGGTTTTGATATTTTATACATTAAATATTTTATCTAGTTTAACCTTGTGTTCTGCCACAACTGTGTTCGCTTATTAAAGGTTGTATGCAGATTGGGTGAGTGTTAATTACAATAGTATCACTAGTTTTCCCTAGACGTCGAATTCGAGCCCTAGTGTGTTGTTGTGTTAGTGTTCACCCACTTAGGCTGTAAGGCATTTGCATATAACCCCGAAAAAAGAATCCGGGGACGTTCAACTTCCATCTGGCTGATAGATAGGTAAACGTTACAATCCAACCTTCAGATACCCAACAGAGGTCGGCGTGGTCGAGTCGGTAAAGCTCATGGTTGCTAAACCGAAAAGTTTCGAGTTCGAACCCTCGGGCAGAGGAGGCTGGAGACACCCACTTTTCTTGGAGAGACAACTCCAAAATCAAACAACTGCTGTCTTGTATTTTGTTCTTGGTTGGACAAAGGCTATGGAAGCAAATCCAAAAAGAAAAGCAGGCTGAAATCGGAGTCAATCGCATAACCAGTTGACACGTAATCCTTAATTGTGATGGAAGCATATTCAAGTCGGCAAAGCTCATGGTTGATAAATTCGAAAAAAAGTCTCGAGTTCAAACCCTCTGGCAGATAAGGCTCGATCCCTCTCAACACTAAAAATTAAGAACGAAGAAGAAGAAGAAGATACCCAACATCCAACCAGATGACACAAGAGCTAAGCATGTATGAACTCTGCAGCCAAAATATAGCTATAGCCCAATAAAAATAATTGTCAACTTGACTTGAATCTGCAGGAAGAAACATAAATAATATTTTATGCTAAAATGATTTTTTGTACACCTTTTCAATGAAAGGAAACACAACTCATTTTTATTCTCCTACACATAATGGTTGTGTTTCTTCTGAACAAATTACCGTTCGTAGCTTCGTTCAATCAATTTGTCACCTGATTAGGTCAAGGTTATAGGTCAGCACAGCTGTGTATTCAGGTAAATGCTAGGTATGTGATCTAATTTTAGCTTCAGTTAGGCTACACTCAGCCCACAGTAGATACGAAGGTATGATTTAAAGAGGTAAGCTCAGAAACTACTGTTTTATTCAAATCTATTATTTTAAACGGTATCAACATGAAGAATAATTTTCGCAAACATTGCAACTAAATATAATTTGTCCACATCTGAACAACAAGCCCAACATATTATGAAATCACTTGAAACTTCGGGGGAGGGGGAGGCTTTTGAAATTTCCGTGGGAGGCGGACAATGGATGTAAATACATTTCATATTTTGTGTTTCCTCCAGGGTTGGTGGGGGGGGGGGGGGAGGTGAGGGGTGTGATGGAAGGGGGGTGGTGGGGGTGTGGTGTGGGGGGAGGTGGGAAGGGGGATTGCTCCCATTCGAAGAGATGTCTGAAAGAAACACTAGTACGGCTCCTCTTTTTTGCTAGTCTATATAAATATACACATATTTTGAAATTAAGCATGTTTTTATTTCAAGTCAATATTTTCAAGTCTATAATCAACTGTGGAACAATTAACTTGTGTGTGTGCGTGTAATTAAACACTCTTATCAAAGATTACAATATTCTTATCTTGAGAAGATTAACAAAGTTCATTTTTAAAAAGCACCGGGCAACTATTGTAAATTCAATAAATTTGAAGCGACCAACACTGAATTACAGCTAGCAAATCATGGACACCGCTGAGAGAATGTCACTTCTGGTCATCGTTTGTTTGGCCACTGTTTGCTGTGTCCTCTCTAAGACGATATGCGATGTAGACGTGTGCAGCCGTGTTGAATGTTTGCCCGTCCTGGAGTCTGACTGCCAGGGAATGTTCATCAAAAAGGGTGGTTTTTGTCGCTGCTGTGATGCTTGCTTCAATGTTCTGAGTAAGTTCAATAATTAAACAGTGATCTCATTCATGGTGTCTAAATGACTTTTTTTTACTATAAGCATAGTATATATATATATATATATATATATATATATATATATATATATATATATATATATATATATATATATATATATATATATATCACAAATATTTCCCGAATATATATATATATATATATATATATATATATATATATATATATATATATATATATATATATATATATATATATATATATATATATAAGCAGTATATTAGGTCTCTTTTGGCGCGTATGGCGCTGGCGCTGGCGGATGTGGAAGGGTGAAGGGTGAGGCGCAGGTACAATGAGATATAGTAAAATACTCCACCAACTGGCGCAGGGTGAAGGGGAAGTAGGTCAGTAGGTCGGTGACCTAGTTACGTAATCACCATCGGTGACCTAGTTACGTAATTTCTTTTTAATTAGTTTTAATTAGTTTTTAATGAGTTTGTTTTTAATTAGTTAGTTTTTAATTATTTTTTTATTTGTTTTTAATTAGTTTGCATTTTTTATTTATTTTGTTTTTTAATTTTTTAATTTTTATTAACTAGTTACGTAATTTGATTATTTGTTTGTTTTTAATTAATTTATTTTTAATTTTTAATTTTAATTTAATTACTTTGTTTATATTTTGTTTGTTTATTTTTTAATTGGTTTAATTTTTAAAATTTTAATTTAAATTTAATTTTTTAATTAGTTTGATTTTTAAAATTTTAATTAGTTTAATTTTTAATAGGTTGAAATTTTTATTTTGTTTTTAATTTTGTAATTTTTATTAACTAGTTACGTAATTTGATTATTTGTTTCATTTTAAATTTTAATTTTTGATTATTTTAATTTTTAAATTTTTTAAATTTAAATTTAAATTTTTTAATTTTATATTTTTTATTTATTTTGTTTTTAATTAGTTTAATTATTTTTTTTTAAATTTAAATTTGATGTTTTAATTAGTTTGATTTTAATTAATTTGATTTTAATTTTTTTTTAATTTTTAAATTTTTAAATTTTAATTAATTTTATATTTGTTTATTTGTTGTTTATTTGATTGTTTGGTTTAATTAATTTTGTTTGTTTGTATGTTTTTTAATTTTTAAATACTCCACCACAACGAATGTGTACAAAAATAGGTTTTTCTTTGTGTAGGCCCCAACAACCATTAACGACATCTGTTTCAAATTATCCAACACATCAAAGAAATTGACCACCAGCACGCGCTGCCCGTTTTTTACAGGTGCCGCCCGGAGATTAATGGCTTTTCTCGTTCGGTTTGATAGCTGACCTTGTTTATAGCCGACAGGTGCTGGGTTCACTTAGTGCGTTGGTACGAGAGCGCGTCTCTGGAATTTCGGCTACCAGGTTTTATGGGTCATAAAACCAATTACGTTTTATAGCCGTAGAATCTCTTTGTGGGGTAAACTAGGGGCTTCTCCGTGAAGCATTTGCGTTTATTTGAGTACCAGCTGGCCAGCATGAGACAGGCTGGCGCCACACTTAACGGATGCTCTAGGGCTTTTTTCATTACCTTGTTTTTAGATTTTCTGGTACTACTAGTCTACACCTTTTTGAGATACACGTATACACATTCACACGCACACTAAAATTAGAACAAAAGTCTTCTTATATTTTATTTATTTATTAACGTTTTTCCAAGTCATCAAAAGCTTTTAAAATATCATGCTGTAAACTTAACATGCGTTCAATACATACTCGATTATGGTAACATGGTTGAGGTGGGTGAGCAGGTGGGTGAAGGGTGAACAGTTGGGTGAAGGGGGAGCAGGTTAGTAAAGGGGGTGCAGGAGTAGGAGTAAAGGATATATATAGTAAAAGACTCCACCACCTGAGTGAGGTGGGTGAGGAGGTGGGTGAAGGGTGAGCAGGTGGGTGAAGGGAGAGCAGGTGGGTGAAGGGGGAAGCAGGTGGGTGAAGGGGAGCAGGAGTAGGAGTAAAGGATATATAGTAAAACACGCCACCACCTGGGTGAGGTGGGTGAGGAGGTGGATGTTAATTTTAATTTTATTTTTTTTTATTTTTTCATCATCTGTTAACTTTAAGGTTCTATAACTCTATATATTTAAAAACATTTTTTGATTCAACCGAGTTTACTTTCCCTAACGTAAGTACATGTAAAGAGGGGTTTCCTATAGATCTGTAATGAATTAGGCCTTTTTGACTATGACTTGTTGTCCAGGCGTTGACATTTTTTTTGAGGTACAAGGACACACACACACACACACACTCACATACACACACACACACGAAATTCATACTAGGTTGGTAAAGGCGGAGAGAACTCATAGGTATACATTATCATGGTGACAACAAAAGCGACCCTTATTTTATTTACATGAAAGAGTGTTTTCCAAAAAGTGTCACCATTCCGTTGTCATTTTCGCAGCTGGGTTTATTTTAACTGCACCCCATGCGCTCTTGTTTACATTTAAAAATACGTGTCGCGTGTCGTGTTCACGTGTCTTCCCTAATAGAGAAACTAGAGGAAAGACAACTGTTCTAAAATTACAACAACCTTGTTTACAGTCACGAGTAACGTCCCTTGTGAAAAAAACTCTCGTCAGAATGCTTAACTAAACATTCAATTTCTTTAACAAGTTAAAAAATAATTTAGGAAGACAATGGTTAACAACATTAAGACACCTCCCTTTTTGTTTTCTGTGACGACAAGGCACAATAAACTTTTGTATTTTATGTCGCAAGAAGAGGGGTGGGATATTTTTTCTTTGTAAGCGTGTTGTAAACAAAGGGTAGAGGAGGCGATTACTAAGTAAGAGGAGAGAGAACGTGGTTTGCATCGCGATATTTGAAAACATGGTGATGTTTAACTATGCTTACAGACCTCAACCAAAAAAGGCAATGAAACTAGAACGTAGACGAATATATATCTTAGTCTTGCAGCAGATTACCTTGCCATGTTCGCTTTAGTATTACAGTTTTCATCAAACTTCTTTTTGACTTGAACTTCTTTAATTTAAGAAGGTTTACTTATACATAATACATTACGTCTAATTACAATTTTTATTTTTACCACTCAATGTATTTTGTTTTCCTATATCTTGCATTGTCATCTTAATTTTTTATCACCTTAGTAAAAATTTGCTTTAGATTATAAACTTCAAGTTTTTAAATAAAAGCTTGTAAAAACAACAACGTTATAGTACGTCGTGTCAAATGACACACCGTTTAAAATGTCTACATTTAAATTTCACCAAAATAATGACGTAAAAACTAAATATGATATGACGTTAGCATATCATATCATTCAATCAAATCAAATTTTATGTTTCAGAACCAGGTGACACGTGTCAGATGTATGACATGGCAGCCCCACCCACTGCCCTCTGTCCGAATGGCTACTACTGTGATAGTTTTCACATGGAGTGTTCTATCCTGCTTGGCTAGAAAAACCCTTAAAAACGGCCATTACAAATCATACATTCAGATTAAAAATAATGTCTATCTTCTCCCAGTTGTTTTTAAGTTAAGAATTGTAATTTTTAACTTGTATTTATATATCCTACATTCAGATATATAAACCTTATATCTCTTTTCCCGTTTGAAAAATGAGTTGGCTTGGTAATATTTTCTATAATAAAAGGACCCGTATAGTAAATTTAATCCCCTTAATTCTGTTTAATTCAGAGGCGTAGCGACCCTTCCCGGCGCCCGGGGACAAACTTTCAATTTGGCGCCCCCCTCGGGAGCAAATTTTCAATTTGCACTCCCCCCCCACCTCAACTTTTCGATTTGCACCCCCCCCCCCCCCAATCCGTTTTGGCGCCCCCTAAAGACGGCGCCCGGGGACATATGCCCCCCCCCCTGCCCCCCATCGCTACGCCTCTGGTTTAATTATCTATAGTTGTTGTTATTACTCAAGATATCTCAATTATCCATTGAAAACTTTCACCGAGATGATTTTTCGTGGGCAGCCGCGCAACGGATTCTAACCCCACTCCATTTAACTGACTTTTTTGGGCCATTCAAAAATTTTCTACAACAAAAATGTAAAATATGCAACATTGAATAGCCTTTAGTTGTATACTAAACAAAATAAATGCATTAAAGGCTAAATATTTTAAACGAGAAAAATGGCCCGTTGAGGAAGGATACAACGGACGCTATGTTGATAGTGCTGTCATTTATCTCGGTACTTTAATTTATATAAAATATAGTCATAGGCATATCCCTAAACCATGCACCTAATCTCATTCATGACAAAAGTCGCATTTAGAGTTTCTTTCAGGCAAATCTACTTGGGAGGAGGGGGCTTCGCCCCCCCCCCCCCTCCCCCCCCCCCCCCACACACACACACTCCAAAACATGTCTACCGTCCCATTCAACGAAATATAATTATATACTTTTTCCAGTGTCCGCCCCCTCCCAGAAAATTCTACCGCCGCCCCCGAAAATTTCAAGTACCCCCACCCCTCTCCGGGGAGGAAAAAGTCTGAAAGAAAAACTGGTGTCGCGCTTAGCCACTACCCGGAGAATTGCATTAAAGAAATTGCAAGAAAACCACTTTTTAGATTAGACACATTAATTAGGCGGTAATTTTATTATAGAGTATCGATGAAGTAATTTCTTTTGAGTTGGGGAGGGGGGGGGGGGCTCAGACGTTTTTTTACGCGGGGGTGGTGCTTCGCCCCTACCCGAAGAATTGTATGAAAGAAACTCTTCACGCAAACCATTTAGATTAGACAAAATTGCCTTTTTATTCAATGTTTACTCGAGAATCAATGACGTCATATTACTAAGTGCACTATCCGGCTTGATATTATTTTCTACTCTATGCTCAATATGACGTCATATTTCGTTTTCGTTTCACTGTGAAAGTTTTTAAATTGCTTGTGTTTTCTATAGAGCGTTCTTGTCAGATAGATACATACACAGATAGATACACAGATATATACACAGACAGCGAAACTATTATTATAGACGATAAAGAAGCAACGAAGCAATCGGTAATTACTATGTGATTTTGACACTGCATAAAATTCTCATTAGCATTTTCAGAATGGTCGTTCTTCTTTTCTGTTAAAACACAAAGATCGAGCTCAACAAAACACCCAATAAATAAAGTATATAAATAAACCAGGAGTGATCTCCCCTAAACTTTCTCGAATATTCTTATATCATACTACGGGGGATGGCAACTCGGAATATAGACATGATTTTTAATCCATTTTTATTTACTTAAACTTTTTAAAAGTAGAAAAAAATCTCGTAGAAAAAAGAATTGCACACTAAGTGAACGCCAAACAATATGTGTATAATAGTGCGGAATATTATTAGTACTTTATATAAATTCACGTGCTTTTTTTGAGAAATCGGCAATAGCGTAAATTACTACTTCCGGTAAACGGAAATTACTCAAAATTTGACCGAAGACAGAAAATTAGATATTTTACTTATAAGTGAAATTTCATTTATCTATTAGAAACAGTAGCCTACTTAAGTTGTAAGCTTTTGAAAAATTGAAAATTGAATAATTCCACTTCCGGTTACCGGAAATCGCTGAAAAGTTGATACAGAACTACACATTTGATATAATAATTACATATGGAATAAATAATGGTACACCGCGCGCTCGCTAACCCCAAACGTGGCGAGTTTGTATGGTGACTGAGCCACCCAAAAAGCGACCAGTTTGTATGGTGATTGTACCAACCATATGTTCAAACCAGGGGATATGATGCTGTGGAGGAGGAATCAAAAGCCTTGAGGAAATGTATCAAGCGGTTGGTAACATTTGAATGATTTTTATGTAAGCCCTGCTAGGGGGGGATACCTTAGAATCTATCTACCCTTCCCTAGGCTTATCTATTACCGTCCGGTCAGTGCAAGCCCGGCTAAACCCAAACTTGTTAATACCTTAACCTTAGTCTAAATTTAAAAAAAAAAAAAAAAAAAAAAAAAAAAAAAAACTTTAACAAATTAATAAAATTTATTTCATGGAACCAATCCAATTAAGAAAGATGATAAACTACAGAATACACAAAACACGACTAAAAACTCAACGGGACAAAACACGACTAAACAAAACAAAACAGATTTATACTTGATGGAAAGAGGAACGCCTTCGCCCTCACCTCATTGCTTCAGCACACACAAAAGACATTACGAAGAAAACAGTACGTACAAAACAATATATATCAAATAAACTTTTTACACCAAACAAAACACTCAGCCAAGTTGCCCAAGCAACCTCACTGGAAGGGGGGGGGGAGAGAAAAAGAAAAGGTAAACATAAGAAAAATGCATGGAAAAATATATACATCAATATATACATGTTTAAATACTAATAACTTCTACTGGAGATATCTAAAGCTTCGAGTAAAACTAATCCCTACTATTACAATTCTAAAAGCAATTATCAAAAGCACAACTAACCACTGTCTAACCAAGAACTAGCAACTTAAAAATAACGTGTAAAACAAATTCATTGTAGAACCAATCTTTCCTACACAAGGAGCAGCCAGAAGCCATTGGTCTACTTATACAACATCCATATTGATAACATTGAAGTTATGCACAATAACAACACATCATATAAAGTAAAACAAGTAAATGCACACACGCATTCGTACCAGTTTAGGAAAACTCCTAAACACACTGACCTAAACCACGTGGTCCGAAAACACACGCCAAGGGTTTATAAAATACAAATTTTAAATCTTTCAAAATAACACACCACGTGCATACCAGACATGCCGATGCTCACTATCTCGTTTTAGACGAAAATGAAAGAAAACGAGAATTATCGGCAGTCGCATTCATACAAATCACTCATAAAAAAGTAAAATAAAAACAAATACCTTTACGCGTGAGATGCGCCACGCGCCCACGCAGAAATCGACCCTATCTATATCTTGCCTCGGGTCAAAAGAAAGAAAATTATCCGAGCGGTCAATTTATATACTGACCGCTTCGGGCGGAAGGGGAAACCCCGTGACCGCTCCCCATTGGATCTTCCACTTGCAGATTCGCACCAAATAACACTGGCTTTGGCGTAGAATCTGCCAACATAGTATGCTTCTTTAGTTAAGTTACGTGTACCCTAGTCTACCCCCCCCCCCCCCCCAATTTCCTAGACGTAGACGAACAAACACACTACTTGTCAAACACTCGTTATATATATATATATATATATATATATATATATATATATATATATATATATATATATACAGGGGCGGAACTACAGTGCCGCCAGACCCCGCAATGCGGTGGGCCCTGGCCGTTTAGGGGCCCACGGCTGACCATAATTAATATTTTTTTAAAATTTGAATTTAATTTTCGTGCATTTTTGCCTTGATATTTGGTTTGTAAAAGAAAAACACTGTAGCTGCAATACGATTATCTTTATTTTACAGTCACTATACCACGCTCTTCCGCAAAAAAAAAAATCCATTACACAAACTACAGTGTAAAATATAGGCAACTCTTCAAATTTGAATGACTTCTTTGACTCGTTGCCCCCCTTTGATAGCTAAATAGAGGACACGTAACTGTTTGACCGATCCTCCAAAGTGTACTGTGGCAGATGGGGCAGGGGATGGGGGCCAAAAAGGGGATAAAAAATTGTCGTCAAATTTTTTATGTTTAAAAAGTTATTTATAGTTGTATTTTTTAACCATCGTCAAGGCCGAGTTCTATTTCCCTACAATCAAACACACGCTGTCGCCCGCAAAATTCTTTTTAAAAAAAACATTAAAGTCCATATCACGAGAAGCCGCTACATATGAAGCGGGCTTTCATGATGCGCGGTTCTTCTTTGCGGCATTGGTTAGGGACCCGAAATCTATTGTACATTTTTCAATGTTAATATGTGTTTGTGATAGTGGTTGAATTTGTATCCTGTACTATCTTGTATCCTACAAATAATAAAAAATAATATAATATTAGAAACTTCAGTTTTATATAAGTTTACTTGTTTTTGCTTTTACAAGAAATATCATAGTTAACTTTTAAGGCTTATACTTGGAATTATCTCCCCTGAGTAAGTTTTCTAATGGGCGATGCTGACGTACAAAGGCGTTTTATTGTCTCTTTCAAGTTTTTTCCCAAGCCGACCCCGATCCCATCCCTCTTTCTTAGCCTGGCAAGTATCGAGTAGATCAATGTATCGTTTATGAACTTCTTCCTAACCGTACGATTCACCACTTCAGTACATTTTGTCGGACATTAGACAGCACTAGTCAACAGATATTAATTTACTCGCATAGTATTAGGCACATCTAATTCAAAAAACAGGGACGGTAAGATTATTATTTAAATTATATAATTATTTAGAAATTAATTAGAACGTTTAGAATTAATTGAACATTATTAATAGTCAATTACTATTTATAAATGACGTCATTGAGCTGGGGGTGTGTGAGGGCCTGGCTTTTTGTTAGTCGTTAAAAATGTGACGTCATTTGTGGATTCCCCCCACCCCTAAATCAGAAGTTTATCCGAAGCG